ACACTGCTTGGGACCTAACTGAGAACACCTACAGCCTCAATGATCAGGGCAGCCATTAGGAAACGTTGGACCCTATATAGCGAATACATAATCAGCTAAGGAATTCTCTGTAGTTACCTTCATTATACATAATACTTCCAGATGGGGCTCAGAATGAAGTCCCCAAGGGGGTATGTAATTTCCCAGGGGGATAGAGCAGTGGACTGCAACAGCCCACATCAACCAATTACAAATGTTAGCAGATATCTCCATATACTGTCCTAGGCCGATAATGAAAAATGGAACATTCCAGTACAAGACTCTTGATGAAGCATTTTGCTACGATCCTATCTTCACTCGCACATAGTGTGGGGGTTGTCCAAATAGGTCACAATTATCCATACTTGTGCCATAGATGGATAGATATTTCCCCAGGAACACCAGGTAGAGAAATTTCCACCAGAGACCTAAACAATCTCGAGTGCCAAGTCTTGCCACGCTATTCACTGAATATTGACAGCGGCAAACAAGTTTGAAAATCTCATTGTCTGACAATGAGTACCTCTGACCACCGGGAGCACTCATAAATGACCAATTAGGTCAACCGAAACAGCCCAATTATCGGAAGAGATGCTATATACGTCAACAGTTGTTGCTTGCTATTACCACACATTTATGGTCACAATGACAATTTCCTGAAGACTTGACAAGGATCCAAAGAACATGTTTTTTTAGAATGAATTTAAAGTGACACTAAATTCAGGAGTTAAATCTTAAAAATACATTCATGTACCTTAACTATTAACAAAAATATCTTATTTGTGTATCACTCGGCTGTAGATCCTCCAATCATCTCTGAATTTGGGTTGACACTGTCCTTCCTTTTGGAGGATGGCTACTTATGTTCCCCATGGTCCCTGTGTATGTTGTACAGTACTCACTGCTCCAAACTCACCCCCGTGATGGACTACAATCTCAGGTTTGCTACTTTACAACACACACAGGGACCATGGGGAACAAAGGTAGCCCCCCTCCAGAAGGAAGGAGTGTCGGAATGAATTCAGAGATGATTTAAGAATCTACATATGAGTGGTACACAAATAAGGTAAAATTGTTTTTAAAGTTGAATGGTAGTTGAATGCATTTTTACAATTTAATTTGTGAGGTTAGTGTCACTTTAAGCAGCTGCACTCCAATGATAGAATACGTCTATTTAATGACGTACAATGAAAACATACTTATTGTGATGTTTCGGGGTCACGTAGGATACCCTTCATCAGGCAGAACAACTTGTTCTGCCGGATGAACGGGATCCTACGTGACCCCGAAAGATTGCAATATGTATGTTTTGCACGTAAGTCATTAAAGGAGAACTATGGGGTTAAGGCTTTTCCCCATAGTTCTCCTTAGGGTAACGGGAGGACACAAACTAGCGTCCTCCCGTCACCCTAGGCTCAGTATACCGCGAGCTGTAGCTCGCGGCATACTGAGACACCGCAGCTGAAGCGGATCCCGACAATTATGCCGGGATCCGCCCAGCTGCGTGACTGACAGCAGAGCTGACGGCAGAGCCAGCTGTACCCGCCCCCTCCCGTTCCGCCAGTCAGCGCTGGCAGATCGGAGCAGGGAGGGGGGAATCCAGCCCCTCCCCTGTCACGGCAGAGAGCCGTGACAGGACCGAGAGGTGAGCGAACGCCGGTATGTGTTCGCTCACCTCCCGATCTACTGAGCCGACCTGTGACAGTCTCATTGTCACAGGTCGGCTAGAACTATGAGGTGAGTGTAAAGCACTCACCTCATAGTTCTCCTTTAAATAGACGTATTCCATCATTGGAGTGCCGGTGTCCATATTTATCTGTATACTGAGACGGTGGCCACCCGTCGACTACAGATGCACCCATTTTATCTCAATGGATGAGCGGTCAGGAGTGCAAAGGGTACATGGACTGTACCTTTAAGCAGCTGCTTACATTTTGCAATGTGTTTTTAATGTCAATGATCTCATGCTTTGTATTCTTGAACAGTAGTAGATTCTTCCCAGACCATATGTGCCCTGTAATTTAAATTACAGTTGTCGGTATTGATCACATTTCTCAAACACTTCATAGGTAAAAAAAATGTAATACCCTTTCTGTCCCCCTTTCCTCTTCATCCGTCATCAGCAAACATTTTCATACCCAGAATGCTGTGATACTTTGTTTTATTGAATTATCACCTTCTCACAATACATATCGCCAGTTTAATTCTAGCCATGCTCATGGCAGCCCTCTAGCAGTTTCAACCTCGTTGGAACAGATCAAGGCAACCTTCCACTAATTTGAAACACATTTAAATGAAATGTTCTGCAAACAGCAACAGGGAAGCGGAAAGTAAAGTTTTTTGACACCAAAATGCAGGAAGTGTGAATGTGGCTTAATAGTAACCGTACAACCTAAAAATAAAAATCACACAACCACTAATGATTACCATACATGCAAGGTAAAGATCCAGTTTCACAGCCAGCTTTCAATAGCAAAAACAACCAAACTGATCAAGAGAACCAAGTATCAAAATGGTGAAACAGTCTAAACTGTTGTTAAAGGAGATTTTAGGGTGATGGGAGGACGCTAGTTTGTGTCCTCCCGTTATCCTAAGGAGAACTATGGGGAAAAGCCCTAACCCCATAGTTTTCTTTTAAGGTTATGCAATCTTCCGGCTTACAATCGGAATCGATTTGAAATATTCCCCAAAAGGTTGCCTACAGGGCAGCCCAGTGGCTTACTGGTAAGCACTTATGCCTTGCAACACCGGGGTCCCTGGTTCAAATCTCAGCCAGAACACTATATGCATGGAGTTTGCATGTTTCCCCTGTGCTTGTGTGGGTTTCCAGAGTAGTCTGTGTCGACCTCATTACCTCGGGGTATTTTAATTTTAAAATAATGTTTACGTCTCAGGGAAACCCTGCAAAATATGAATATACCTACAGCTGATAAGTATACTAGTGTGACCAAGAAGTAGAATGGTTTAAATAAAATAATAATGTGGCATATGTAGCATATTTAAGACTCAGGCCAGATTATTTTTTGACACCCTGTGCTCTATACACCAAAACGTTTTCAGTAATATTATTAAAAATTAATAACAGAAGCAAACAGACAAAAGATATTGCAGTGTCCGCTTACAGAGGGCTGGACAGATCCCAGGAGCCAGGTCACCAATTCTCCTTAAAAATGACAGCTGGTACCAAACATTTGAAGTTTTCTCTAGTTGCTTGCAATGGAAACACATGAGTGCTCAGGTACCTGTAGCTTTAGGCCAGGTGCACACTTGGGCGATCCCGGGACCGTGCGTGCATGTGCAGTTGCACATGTTGCAATCGCGACGTGACAACCGCACAATCTGCCTGGCACAACTACCAGCAGCAGTGTGCGATTTCATGACCACGCGGTTTCGTGCACAAATGCTGCACCGTCATGGATCGCCCAAGTGTGAACCTGGCCTGATGTCTGAAGCTCAAAATAGGTACCTGGGCTACTTTTGAAGCAGAATGGGCTTTTGTGGCCCCATACACAACACAAGCGCCTGAAATGAGCATTTTTGAGGCCTAAAATCAACCATACACTCCTTTAGTAACTAGCTTTCTTTGACTTAAGCAAAAATGCTCAAGTCTTAATAAGCTTAAAGGAGAACTATGGGGTCAGGGCTTTTCCCCATATTTCTCCTTAGGGTAACGGGAGGACACAAACTAGCATCCTCCCATCACCCTAAGCTCAGTATACCGCGAGCTACAGCTCGCGGTATACTGAGACGCCGCAGCTGAAGCGTATCCCGACAATTATGTCTGGATCTGCCCAGCTGCGTGAGTGACAGCTGGCTCTGCCTATCTAGAGGCAGAGCCAGCTGTACCCGCCCCCTCCCCCGCCCGTTCCACCAGTCAGCGTTGGCGGATCGGAGCGGGGAGGGGGGAATCCAGTCCCTCCCCAGTCACGGCAGAGAGCTGTGACAGGATTCACTCACTTCCCGATCTACTGAGCCGACCTGTGACAGTCTCATTGTCGCAGGTTGGCTAGAACAATGAGGTGAGTGAAAAGCACTCACCTCATAGTTCTCCTTTAAGGGCTACTTCACACCAAGCGCAGAGCAGAGCAGTTACAGAACGGATCAAAAATGCATCCAATGTATTCCAATGGTATTTTGGGCTCTAGTTCACACTGCAGTATTCAGTTCCAGAGCATGTTAAAAAAACTGCAGCAAGCCCTATTTTTCCTGCTCTGGAACGCATCAAAAACACATGCAAACGCCCTGGAACGCACTGAAAACGCCAATTTTAGGCTAAAAAAACAGCCCAGAATGCGGCAAAAACGCAGCAAAACACACCGCACTGCATAGGCAGAAACTGCATTTGGTGTGAACAAGCCCTAAAAAATTGCACAAAAACGCACACATATGCTCCACAATTGCCTGTAAACACTCAGGTGTGAATGCAGCAAGGTTTACAAACTCCAGACTGCATTCCCCTATGGCAGACCCTGGTAACAATTCATTGAGTGGCTGATGCAGACCCTGTACACATTTCAGGAATGGAACCACAGAAAAGCACGGTTCCAAGGATCGAGGTGCACCAAAGATTGTAACAGGGTCATGGTAGTAGGTAAGTTGCTTACAACCAGCAACAGATCCAGATAAACCCACACAGCTCCTAGTGCGGCAGGGCAGGAGTTAACCCCAACATCTGGATGGGGTGTTTCTGCTTGCATTTTATAAATGACAGTCTACCCTTATGGGTTCTATACAACAAAGTATCCTACTAGCACAAAGAAGCCGTGGATCTCCTGCTGGCTCACAGTGCAGTCCCTTTAAACACCCAGCCCACGGGGGAAAAAACTGAAAAATGAAAGCCCTGAAGCTACACAAAGTTTTCCAAGTCGGGAGATCCAGCGTGGACTCCACCCTGCCAGACAAGAGCAACTTGTAGGAGTCCAAGCTGGCAACCCAGATCCCCCTGGTAGGAGATGCCAGCCTTGCCATGGGGGGGCTCTTACCTGGATGAACTGGATGGTCAGGGCGCTCTTGCCCACTCCTCCTCCTCCCACCACCACCAGCTTGTACTTCTCCACCGGGATGGAAGAGTCTTTGGCACTCATGCTCTCTGCAGATCGGGCAGCTCTCGGGTTTTCGCACGGTGCTTAGATAGAAGTCAATGCAAAAATGTAAAACAAAAATAAAAAAAATAAATGCTGAAATCACAGAAAAGCAACTTCACATCAGCAAACTTTCCATGGAGTCAGTCCCTGCAAAAAAATGGCTGCCCAACCCTTTTCCCTGAGCTCCTCCTGGGGTGTTACTTTGCCATGCTAATGAGCTCCTAGATATTCATGAGTACAGAGGGTGACCGGGCTCTGAATCACTAAACTTCACTTCCATATATGGTGAGGGGCTGCGAAGCCTGAGGGCTGCGGTCATCTGGGTGTCCGTGCGGTCCTAGATCCTCCCGATCTGGAGAGATCACACACAGTACAGCTGTTCTGGCAGGGAGAGCCTGTGGACGGGTTCATGATTTTGTATTGTGATCCTGGATTTACACTCAAAGCAATTGGAGAAATCCTTACAATTATTTTCAGTTCTTAGGAAAGCCCTGCTTACAGTGATTATACCTACAACCCATAGTGCACCTGTGTGATCAATTAAAGAGGTTTAAAGGTAAAGTCCATCTTTTAGAAAAAATAGTAAAAGCAGATTTCTTTATAAAATAATAAATGTGCAATTGCACACTGGTCTCTATATACACATTGGGGAGTATAGCACACAATGATCTGTATATACACATTGTGGAGTATAGCACACAATGATCTCTATATACACATTGGGGTGTATAGCACACACTGGTCTCTATATACATAGTGAGAAGTATAGCACACACTGGTCTCTATATACACATTGGGGAGTATAGCACACAATGATCTCTATATAAACAGTGGGGAGTATAGCACACAGTGATCTCTATGTACACATTGGGTAGTATAGGACACAGTGATCTCTATATACACATTGGGGTGTATAGCACACACTGGTCTCTATATACATAGTCAGAAGTATAGCACACAGTGATCTCTATGTACACATTGGGGAGTATAGCACACAGTGATCTCTATATACACAGTGGGAAGTATATCACGCAGTGATCTCTATATACACATTGGGGTGTATAGCACACAATGATCTCTATATACACATTGGGGAGTATAGCACACAGTGATCTCTATGTACACATTGGGTAGTATAGCACACAGTGATCTCTATATACACATTGAGTTGTATAGCACACACTGGTCTCTATATACATAGTGAGAAGTATAGCACACACTGGTCTCTATATACACATTGGGACGTATAGCACACAATGATCTCTATATACACGTTGCGGTGTATAGCACACACTGGTCTCTATATACATAGTGAGAAGTATAGCACACACTGATCTCTATATACACATTGGGGAGTATAGCACACAATGATCTCTATATACACATTGGGGAGTATAGCACACAATGATCTCTATATACACATTGGGGAGTATAGCACACAATGATCTCTATATACACATTGGGGAGTATAGCACACAATGATCTCTATATACACATTGGGGAGTATAGCACACAATGGTCTCTATATACACATTGGGGAGTATAGCACACAATGATCTCTATATACACATTGGGGAGTATAGCACACAATGGTCTCTATATACATAGTGAGAAGTATAGCACACACTGGTCTCTATATACACATTGGGGAGCATAGCACACAATGATCTCTATATACACATTGGGGAGTATAGCACACAATGATCTCTATATACACATTGGGGAGTATAGCACACAATGATCTCTATATACACAGTGGGGAGTATAGCACACAATGATCTCTATATACACAGTGGGGAGTATAGCACACAATGATCTCTATATACACATTGGGGAGTATAGCACACAATGATCTCTATATACACAGTGGGGAGTATAGCACACAATGATCTATGTATACATAGTGAGGAGTATAGCACACAATGATATCTATATATACATTGTGTGTATAGCACACTCTGGTCTCTATATACATAGTGAGGAGTATAGCACACACTGGTCTCTATATACATAGTGAGGAGTATAGCACACACTGATCTCTATATACATAGTGATGAGTATAGCACACACTGGTCTTTATATAAACACTGATTTATGTATACATTCTGATGTGGGCGATAGCACTGAGGGCAGGAGGCATGGTTGCGTTGTCATTAATTTGAATGGCACCTCCACGCCCATTCCCATCCTAAAACGCAGAAGGCTTTCATTATGGGATCCAGTGCGTTCCCATCACTAACTGGTCTGGAACTCACTGGATGTGGTGTGAAGGGGCCCTAAGTGTTAGATGCAGTGTGAGGGATGACAGAGCCTCTTTAGGACTGCTCATAGACAACCAAATCCATTCATTGTCTTTCACCATTTTACTTTTCAATCTAATTGTTTCCCCCTTTCTCAGATGTGTCATACTGATGAGCACTGGTTATCATTATTCTGTATAGATCTTCTTGTTTCTAGTCCTTTTGAGTCCACACAATGCCTTTATTCTTGAATATTTGTTCATTTGCAGGCATATTTTTATCGGTGACACAAGCCTGTTTATTTCCACAACTCTGATATGATTGCAGTCTTTTTTGTTGTTCCATTCTGTGTAAATATTGTGATACGAATGTAGCTGCTACAAGGTTCCATTCTGCGACAGTAGTCACTTCTAGAAAGCACCATTCTGCTACTGTTTTATCTGTAGCTTCATTTCAAGGCTATTTTACATACGTTGCAGCTTTTATTCATTGGTTTTGTATGCATATTATGGTTTTTATTTATGCATCTTTTTTAATTCGCAGTTTTCTATTTAATGCATATAGTTTAGTCTTATGTAATAACGCAGACTGTTTGGAATTTAGGGGCTGATTTATAACTCTTCTGCCCAGTGGCGTCACAAGGGGGGTGCGAGGGGTGTGGCCTGCACCGGGTGACACCAAAATCATTTTCATGGACCCGGAGCCTGACAGCTGCACGAGAGAGGAGGAAACACGAGGCATACCTTATCCCGCCGGATGAATGTCCCCTCCTCTCTGTGCCGGCGTCCACCACCAAGATGGCCAGCTGCAGTTAAGTGTGTGCGACGCTATTTTGCACGTCCCAGCAGGTGACAACCGGCAGGCGTACCGGGTGGCACACAGCCCGGGGACTCCTCTGCTTCTGATTAGTGTTCTCATGGTACTACTGCTACTGGATGGCGCTAAAAGAGCATAGGAATTTTCTGTGCTCATCGGCACCATCTAGTGGCGATAGTGTTATGCAGATGGTTTCAGCCCCGTTACACACTAGACAGAAGAGTTATAATGAGCCCCTAAGGGCTCGTTCACACCAGATGCAATGCGATTGGGCCCGATTCTGGCCAGAACGCACTGCATCACATTGCGGCCGGCTCACTATGTTGTGGGGCAGGAGGGGGCGTGGCGGTCCACTATCAAAATCGTGCTTGCAGCATTTTGTTCGGACCGGATTGCAGGCATAATGTGCGGCTGTGCGGCCGATCGCCTTGTGGCCGGAGGGCGTGGCTACGGTACCATTCACTTCAGTGGCCCGCCCCCTCCTGCCCCACAACATAGTGAGCCAGCCGCGATGCAGTGCATTCTGGCCAGAATCAGGCCGGAACGCACTGCATCTAGCGTGAACGAGGCCTAAATCATATCCTTTAATTGCTAACTTAATTTATTAAAGGAGAACTATGAAATTAGTGATTTCCACTCACGTCATAGTTCTAAGCCGACCTGTGACAATGAGACTGTCACAGGTCGGCTCAGTAGATCGGGAGGTGAGGGAAAACATACCGGGTTCCCTCACCTCTCGATCCTGTCACAGCTCTCTGCCGTGACAGGGGGAGGGGCTGGATTCCCCTCTCCCCGCTCCGATCTGCCAGCGCTGACTGGCGGAACGGACGGGGGAGGGGGCGGGTACAGCTGGCTCTGCCTCTAGGTAGGCAGAGCCAGCTGTCACTCACGCAGCTGGGCGGATCCCGTCATCTAAGTCGGGATCCGCTCCAGGTGCGGCGTCTCAGTATACCGCGAGCTGTAGCTCGCGGTATACTGAGCTTAGGGTAACGGGAGGACGCTAGTTTGTGTCCTCCCGTTACCCTAAGGAGAACTATGGGGAAAAACACTGACCCCACAGTTCTCCTTTAAAGATGCAATCTTTCAGGATTCCATAGATCCCTTCAACAGGCTCTATACCTAAATGTATAGAGATTAACAAAGGGATCTAAGGAATCCTGAGAGCTTGAAGCCCAGCTCCAGGGAAATTCAAGGTTTTTCCCTTGTAGTGGGGCTGCCCCTGATCTGCAAGGGTTAAAGTGATATTAAAGTCAAACGATTTCTAAGCTATTTCACGTGCTGATGAAATTACTGACAAAGGATGCGGCTCCTTGATGTTTAAACGTTTTAGTTTCCTGCAGAGTCAGCTGGTCCCCTGAGCACTGGCCCTGATATTTAGTTTTAGGGGGGTTTATTTCCCTTGCAGAGTCCTATGGGAGCCATCCTTGTGTGTGCTAGTAAGCTGTGTGTGTCCACAAACACATAAACACAGCAAGGAAAGTCACTCTCCTGCTCTTCCCTTCGGGCAGCTGCTGGAGACTTTCCTGTCCCTTGTGAGCTTGTACTGGACAGGAAGTTCAGGGAAGCTGAGCTGAGAGAGCGAGAGGGAAAAAAGTATAGAAATACTTTGCTGGCCAATATAGATTTGATTGGTCTGAATTCATTATTGAAAAAAGGTGTGAGGGTGTAATATTACTTTAAGTGCTTGTTCATGGCTAGGTGACTGTAATAAAGCAGATTTACTTACCTGATCCCCGCTCCCAGCAGCTCCGTCTAGGCTGCTAGACCTGTCCCCGAAGCCTCTTCTCCCTTTCACTCTGGCAGTCTAGGGACTGCTGACTTTGTCAAGCACAATGCAGGCTCCATAGCCCTGCATTGCACGTGAGGACACCAAGACATCAGTTCACAGTCGGATCGGTGGGGGAGAAGAGGGAACGTCAACTCTGTTGGGGGAGTGGGGTCATTCCCATCAGAACATCCGAACAACCGAATACCACATTCACTGTTATAATTCCATCCTAGGAAAATGGTTGTCAATATGACTCCGTAGAATTGAAGTAGTTAAAATCTCTACTCTGTTTTAGAGTATTACATTCTCAGACTAGTTTCAATTTTGAATCCAAATCAAACAAATATACATTGCCCAGCAAATTCTATGCTAAACAGCGTGGACGGATGAATCTCCTGCTGCACTATTGTATCTGACAGCGAAACATCTAAAGAAGTTTCACATGCTTTCTGTGTACAATTGTTTGATGACTGTACGATGATATGTAAAAAGATCATTCACACCAATCCAGTTCTGCAGACTGATGTTTCTGCCTGTATTTAGTATGCTGTTAGGATCACTTTACTAAAACTGCACATGATATTTCCTCCACAAATGAATAAGCACCTTAAAATCCCACTTTTGAAGTCTTCTATCTCATGTCTTGTCTACCCCGGATAACGTGTGGCTGCCTCTGCACACAGCTGGCTCCATATAAGGTGGGCTTAACTGCCTGTTAGTACAGCAGGACACTTATGAAAAATGGATCCCTCTGGAACGTGACATAAAACATCCAAACGGTGTAATACTGCAGCTTGCAAACATTCTCATACGAGCAGTGCAAATGCACAATGACAAGGGGCAGGGCTCATAGCAACCCATAAAAAATCATCCCTTAAAGGGAACCTGTCTAAATGACTGTAACCTGGCAAGTAGTACTGGTTCTGGGGTGAGCAGGCCATTATGTGCGCTGGTAAAGATTTGCTATGCCCCAAAACTAGCACCACTTCTAAGGAGTCGGCCAATGTGACAGATATAAACTCTACTGAGAGAAATACATGGCCTCCCATTGCTATGCTTCTTCTTAATATGTGGCCTGGTTGTCCCTGTCCCTAAAGCTGAACTCTGGGATAAGCAAATTTTGTCTAAAAACAAGAGCCATGTGTCTTCTTACTGGAATCTTGGTGAGCTTTCTGTATTTCTTCCAGCTCTGTTCGGTAATCTAGTGCGAAGCTTTGCTTCTGTGCAGGAGCTTCCTGTATTAAAGACCGGTCACTGCTGCTCTCTCTCCTTGTGCAGGGTGACTGGTCTTGTCTCCACCCCCCTCCTGTAGTTTTCTGCAGGCAGCCTGCAGTGGGTAGAGTCTGCTGGGCCCCTCCCACTGCTCTGTTCTATGCACAGACCATGTACAGCCTAGTAATAATGTCACTGCTAATTTTACAATAAAATAATTGAATTTGCAAAGCCATTATGTCCTTTGTGGCTATTGAAGAATATCTCACAATTTAAGTTTTTGTTCCTGGAGTTCAACTTGAATCTTTTCTATTCCAAAGAGCTGCAAAAAGCAAAGAAAAATCAGAGTGAAGTCAGAACTGGTGATCTGCATACTTGTTTAAAGTCTGTGACTTAAAGGAGAATTATGAGGTGAGTGCTTTTCACTCAGCCTCATAATCTGAGCCGACCTGTGACAATGAAACTGTCACAGGTCGGCTCAGTAGATCGGGAAGTGAGCGAACACATACCGGCGCTCGCTCACTTCTCGATCCTGTCACTGCAGAGAGCCGTGACAGGGGAGTGACTGGATTCTCCCTTGTCCGATCCTCCAGCGCTGACTGGCGGAACGGACAGGGGAGGGGGCGGGTACAGCTTGCTCTGCCTCTAGATAGGCAGAGCCAGCTGTCACTCACGCAGCTGGGGGGATCCAGACATAATTGTCGGGATCCGTTTCAGCTGCGGCGTCTCAGTATACCGCAAGCTGCAGCTCGCGGTATATTGGGCTTTGGGTAACGGGAGGACGCTAGTTTGTGTCCTAGTTTGGAGAACGCCCTAACCCCATAGTTCTCATTTAAAGTATTGCAGGCATTGGATCACCACCAAAAGTAACTATGCAAAAGGTGAGTGCTCTTCTCTAATCCGGATGGTCATAGTCTTATGTTAAAAAGAAATGGACAATTGATTTTTAATCAAAGATGCTTTATTTAATCATTGTAATCTTAACACATTTTGGGTTTAGTGTATTCTCTTTACTATGCTTTAGAAAAAGGCAACTAAGAATAATAAAGAATTAAATGTAGAAAAAATATATATAATCATTGTAATCTTAATCAACAGGTTTTGTGGGTTACAGTATATCCTCTTCATCATGGCTCCACTAGGACGCTAAAAACAATATCAAAATTATATACAAAAAAATAAATATAAATAAACAAATATAATATAAAATATAGAAAGTGAATGAAGATTATGCAGATGTAAGCACCTACAATGTAGGCCATGTAACCCAGCATGATGGACAATGGTCATGTGGCCTGGAACTGGAGAACCTGATATGTACAGATGACAGGTAAGTGTGTGCACAGTTTCACAGCTGTAGCCTTGCTCCCAAATTCCTTTCCTATGTTTGAAATGAAAGTTCACCCTGGAGTTGCTCTATGAACGCTAACACATTTACCTTGATAAATGAAGAGACCCATCTTTGACCTCTGCCTGAACTCCAGTTTTCCAGCAATCAGCATTTGAAACTGCCGGCCATTTACCTGCAACAGCATGTGACTCATAAGGGTGAATTTATTAAAACCAGAGCAAACAGTATCTGGAGCAGTTGCCTATGGCAACCAATCAGCTTCTCTCTTTCATTTTGATTTATATATATTTCATTATATGAAGATAGAAGCTGATTCTATATAGGACACAGTGAGTGTGTTGTCACCCTAGGACAGGATGGAAACATGTTACTGGCAGGATCAGTGATCACCAGATGAAAAAGGAAAAAAATATCTGGAAAAAAAAAAGAATACGAATGCAACCAGCACATCCAAGGTCTGGTGAGCTGCAAAATATTTGTTTTTGGTTTTAGATATACTAATTTAATTAACTTGAATACAGGTGAATTATAAAAGTTGCTGTCTAACCTCCACTATTTGCATGCTCACCATATTTGTAGAATCGGTTCTTGGAATGTATCACATGCTCCATGTAGCAGATGCTATCAGCTGAGTAATGTGTTCTGTATGTTTTCCCTGGAAGCAGTTACTCACAGCTTGTTGTAACAAAAAGTCCCTCGTTGTTTTCTATATCAAGAATTGCTTGTGATTCATTGACTGTATCAGAACCTGGAACACTAATATATAAAAAGGTAAAACAATATAAAAGGCGAGCCTGTACAGTGGTGTAACCAGAGTTATGGGCGCCCGAGGCAGAACATTTTTTTTCGCCCCCCCCATATTATATAAACATCCACTGGAACTGTACCCCCCACCCCCACACATATATATCAGCTAAGGAACTACAAGTCCAAGCATTCCATCAGTGGGTGGAATAGTGCCCCATCATTGGTATCAGTGGGTGGAATGGTGCTCCATCATTGGTATCAATGGGTGGAATAGTACCCCATCGTTGGTATCAGCGGGTGGAATAGTGCCCCATCATTGGTATCAGCGGTTGGAATAGTGCCCCATCATTGGTATCAGTGGGTGGAATAGTGCCCCATCATTGGTATCAGAGGGTGGAATGGTGCCCCATCATTGGTATCAGTGGGTGGAATGGTGCCCCATCATTGGTATCAGTGGGTGGAATAGTGCTCCATCATTGGTATCAGTGGGTGGAATAGTGCTCCATCATTGGTATCAGTGGGTGAAATAGTGCCCCATCATTGGTATCTGAGGGTGGAATGGTGCCCCATCATTGGTATCAGTGGGTGTAATGGTGCCCCATCATTGGTATCAGTGGGTGGAATAGTGCCCCATCATTGGTATCAGAGGGTGGAATGGTGCCCCATCATTGGTATCAGTGGTTGGGATAGTGCCCCATCATTGGTATCAGTGGGTGGAATGGTGCCCCATCATTGGTATCAGTGGGTGGAATAGTGCTCCATCATTGGTATCAGTGGGTGGAATGGTGCCCCATCATCGTTATCAGTGGGTGGAATGGTGCTCCATCATTGGTATCAGTGGGTGGAATAGTGCCCCATCATTGGTACCAGTGGGTGAAATAGTGCCCCATCATTGGTATCAGTGGGTGGAATAGTGCCCCATCATTGGTATCAGAGGGTGGAATGGTGCCCCATCATTGGTATCAGTGGTTGGGATAGTGCCCCATCATTGGTATCAGTGGGTGGAATAGTGCTCCATCATCGGTATCAGTGGGTGGAATGGTGCTCCATCATTGGTATCAGTGGGTGGAATAGTGCCCCATCATTGGTATCAGTGGGTGGAATAGTGGCCCATCATTGGTTTCAATCATGATAATAATGATAATAAATATAGGTAGTTACTTTTCCTCCGGCTTCGGTACTGCAGGGAGTGACATGCTTCTCCTTCCAGCAACATCTCAGAGCATGCCGAGTAGCCCAAATCTTGAGAGATGATGCACAGTCAACAAGAGGACCACGTGTTATTGGGGCAAAGTCCACTTTAAGTAACGCCTTTTCTTTGTTCACATTTGGAAAGAAAAGAGTCATTCTAAGGGTTGAAAGGCATTGTAGTCACATTCTATTCAAACATATGCAGCTGCGATCAAACAAAAACTGCAGAATTAAGCTAGAAAATGCTGCATTTCACCTGCTTTGCTTGCAGTACAAACGCTCCTTAAGGCCTCATTCACACAAGAAAAGACCGGCACGTACAGCTCCGTGCTGCGTGCACGGCCGTATTGGGCAGCTCCCGCGAATGACAAGTGCTGCGTGTGATTAGTACGCAGCCCCTGTCCTTCTCTATGGGAGTATGCGGCCATACGTCGGCCTACGCTCACCCGCCCTGCACGTCCGTACGGGTGTCCGTACTTGTACGCTGAAGGGATAGATCCTGTCTACGTCCGAGCCAGGACACCCGCACCCGCTCGGACCTACACTTGGGGTAAGCGTAGGGCGGCATATGGCCGCGTATTCCCATAGAGAAGTACAGGGGCTGCTTACTAATCACACGCAGCCCCTGTCCTTCCTTGGAGCTGCCCGATACGGCCATGCACGCAGCATGTGCCAGCCTTTTCTCATGTGAGGACATGCTGTGTCCACAGAAACACAGCACAACAAAAAAGCAGATCAAACACAGCCTCTGAACTGCCATGTGCACTGCTTCATTGATGTCAATGGGATTTTGCTGACCTGTGTTTGACATGCATTCCAAACGCACATCCAAGACAGGTAAGCAACGCCCATCAGCCTGAGCCCTAAACGAGTACATCTTGAGGTATTAAAGAGGATCTTTCACTTCCCTCTATTTTTAACCCCCTCTTACCTGTTAGGCAGGATTGTACTCAATTCACATATTCACCTGCTCAGTGAATCCAGCATTGTCCTGCTGCAACTAGCTCCTCTGCTGCCACAGCCCACATCCTGGGTTGTATGACGGGGATATGCCAGGAGGCTGCAGGAGCAGAGACATATCATTTATGCCTAGGTGAGAGCAAAAAAAAATAAAAATAATAATATAAAGTTCCGCTTTAATATGCAATAAAGCAATGAGCACTATTCAAAAAACAGTAACCCATAGTAACTAGTCGCTCACCACACATCATACCATCATGATACATGAGTGTGCTATATCTCCAATACAATTACATTTGACCAAATTGCTCCTTTCTTTGTGGTGCCAAATGACGTTATATGAATAAAACACATTAGCGTGTCATATGGCCAGCACAATACTGATCTGACTTCCAGAAACTGAAAGCCAAGCACTGTACATTACAGCACGTGGGGGAAATGATGAAAACTGGAGCAGACAAAATCTAGAGCAGTTGCCCATAGTAATCAATAGACATGTGCGATTCGTTTCGTTACGAATCGTAATTCGTACGAATTTCCTGAAATTCGTAAATTCGGAAGCATTGGAAATCCGAATTGCAATGCTTCCGAATGTATCCGAAATACGAAATTCCACTGACGAATTTCGGATCCGAATCTGAATTTCGTTAAAACGGGAACTAATATTACCCCTGTGACTGAGGTTGAACAACATGACAAGATTTTTTTTAAATCTGAAATACGAAATTCCGTTAACGGAATTTCGTATTTCGTGCCTGTAATGCAACCCTCAGCAGCAGAAGAAAACCTCTGATTGGTCAACCAAACAGTCACATTTCCGTTGTAACGGAATTCGGATTCGGGTCAGAAATTCGTCAACGGAATTTCGTATTTAAAAAAAACTACCATCGATTCCAATATTAACAAAGGTATTTTTGCTTTTTAACTTCATCATAACAAATGTTGGTAACGGTATGAAAATGTGACGAAACTAACGAAAATTCGTATTTCGTACGAATCCGAATTGAGTTTCGGACACGAATTACGAAATAACGTATATTCCGAAACAAAACTAAGCAATTTTTTTGACGGCGCACAAGCCTAGTAATCAATCAGCTTCTATCTTTCATTCTCAAAGCTTAACTGAACAAACTGAAAAGAGAAGCTGATTGGTTTCTATGGGTTACCACTCCAGATTCTATCTGCTCCAGTTTTGATAAATCCCCCTCAGTGTCCTTTGCAAAGCTTTATTCTGGCTATACGCTGGTAGATTTTCTTACGAACATTCATATGAAAAATCTCATCACAACATTCGATGATGTCATCAGAGACTTGCTGAATGTCGTTCAAAATTGCTTTTGATTTTTACCATTTGATTGCGAAAATGAATAGAGTTTCTCGAACGAAAACCGCATTCAATGTTAGGTACTCATTCATAAAAGTTCCACATGGCATATAGCCGGGCAAATGCTGTTTGTACGGCACTAGCATACCTAGATAGCGCTAACAGTGCCATGCAGGACGGCTAGTGGTGTGCAAGCGGGATTAATTATAAATGAACCCCTGAGGATTGAGTTGTTTTTTTTTGTTTTGTTTTTCATCACTATAGTCAAAATAGATTGTCGATTTGACCCCATTAGGAAATTGAACGCAAACCAATTATTTTCGTAAGTAATTTTACTGGGCAGGAAAGTTCCTATAATGAGACAGACTCAGGCTGTTGCCTCAGGAGGCATCTCTTTGGGTCACATGGGTGGGTGGCCTTTCCAGTCATGGTGTCCCAGCTTGCTTAAAGCCGAACGGGCAAATGTGTAAGGGCCATACACATCTCCCCTCCCAGCTCTTAGCAACCTGTGACACTCTTCCTGGCATCCAGGCCAGCTCCTGGCAACCAGTCACCTCAGTGAGCAGGGTGGGATGCCGACCAGAGTTGGGCGTTGCAACACGGGTGAGCCGGCCAGAGCACTATTAGCGTGTACCACCAGCACCCCATCAACCCCAGCCCACTCAGAACATGACCACCAGCACTCCCCCCACCTCAGGTGGCGTTTATGCTAGGGACAGCCCTGCTACTGGTGTATGGCCTGCTTTAGTAAATATGGCTGTGATATAAGAATTTTGTGACATTTCCAGGGATCTCAAGTCTCCCTGATGTTCAGGGAGTCTCCCTCTTTTGGGCAGCAGCTCCCTGATGTCTGCGAGAGAGGCATTTTCTCCCTGAAATAAGGTTTTGCAGGTTGGGATGTCTGCATTTCCAGTATGTACAGAGACTGCTGCAAACTCTCCACATTTTCTTTTCTATAAATGTAAACAGAAATCTCTCTTGTTCTTGTTCGGAGAATGTGGTCTGACTTAGTGAAAGTGAATGTGTTTGTGTTAAGTTATACCTATGGCTGTATGTTGTGCGGGGTTTCAGGGCCTGGTGGCCCCCTGCAGACAGACTTCTCCCAGGGGAGGTGTAGCTATGACTCCATACATTCTTTGTGTGTGTGCTGTGTTCAGGAAGTGACTCACTGCTCCACA